AAACAAAAAAAAAAAAAAACAGAAGGAAGTGGAATACTAAAGGATGACCAAGAGACAGCGTGACAAGCCCCGCTCCCCCCTTGCTCCCCCAGCCCCATTCTCTTGCTTTTAAGGCCAAAAGGTATTTTCATATCTTGGAGAACAGCAACAGAGCTGCCACTAATAGAAATTGCCTGGCTGGGTTAGCAGGAGCAAACTTGCAGGGGTAGAACTGCTTATCCAGTAGCTTTGGCTGACTTTTGTGCTCTACACCATGAAATGAATAGAAACTGAGATGAGAAGCCAACTGCTCTATCTTTCTCCTGTTCATCTGCATCTTGGATTTTTACTTTCCTTCTCTTTCTGTAATATAGGGGCTGTGCCTTACTTTCCTGTAGTCTGATTGTCTTTTCAGGTGGACAAGGTTCGTCTCTTGGTTAGGGTGACTCTGTCCCCAGAAGTGTGTCAGGAGTACTTGGAGGGCTCCTTCCCTCTGTGTGTTCTAGGTAAGTCATCAGAGAGTAGTGCAGGGTGTGCACCTCCATGGCCCTTAACAAACACTACTTGGGAAAGTCCCACTGCCATCTTCTGGAGACATAATGAATGGAGTGGGGGAACAGAAACCTTGTGACGTTCAAGATGTGCAGAGCTCTGCATCTGGGGCAAGATAACGCCATGCATCAGACCAGGCTGGGAGAGTTAGGTTGAGCAGCAGCCCTGGTGTGAACTTGGGGTTATAGCCAATGCCAGGGTAAAGATGAGCTGACAGGATGCTCTCATGGCAGACAAGGCAAACCCTGACCTGAGCTGTATTAGGAGCTGCATGGCCAGCTGAGCCTGGAGAGTTATTTTCCCCGCTTCTGCTCAGTGCTGATGAGGCCCCCACCTGGACCCATGGTGGGTCCTTAGTTCTGGATGAATGTGGGGAAACTGGGGAGGCGCAAGCTGAGGCTACCAAGATGGGGACCTGGAGCATCGTTTCTGTGAGGGGAGGGAGATTGGCTGGGGTAGTCTGTTGTGGAGGCGGCTAGGGATTGACCTGATAACACTACCACAGAATGATGAAGCCAAACTCTTCTTGTTAGTGTCAAATGATGTAAGGAAGCACAACAGCCACAAATTGCTGACATAAGAAAAAAGGCAAGTCTAGTGTGCTTCTCTGATCATCATCTCAGTTGGCACCTATCAATAGGCTAGAAATGGCCAAAGATTGCCAGGTGCTACCAGTAGCCCTGTCTTTCTTGAATTAGTCTTGTGTCTTTTTGAACCCATTTGTACTTGCATCTTGTGATAGTGAGTCTCATCATTCAATGACATGCTGTGTGGAAAAGTTTTTTGTTTTTTTTTTTGCTAGTCTGAGACCTTGGTCATGTTTCCTAGCTCTTGTAATGTTGACAGTGAATAATATGGAGTGTTACTATGCACACCGCTGCCAGGCCAACATAAATACATGACCTCCCTGGTACACTTGTTAAGACAGCTAGCAAGAGCATTGACAGCCCTGGGTAGAGCTCTGAAATGTTTTCTGCTTGTAAGCCATATGGTAGGGGATAGCAGGAAAGAGCCAGCCCTTCATCTCTCTATGCATACACAGGGAGTAGTCTTGGAAGTGACAGTCTGTAATTGCCTAGTGTCACTGGCATAGTATGGGTGAGGAGGGAGTTTTCAGCCTACTTTGAAAGCCTTCTACTAGGACAATAGGCTTACGGGGTTGTTGTGCCAGAGGAAGGTGCTGGTGGGAACGACTGTATTGTCTCTTCAGAGTGGATCCCGCTGTCCCGGATAGATGTCGCACTCGGTGTTGGAGAAACTTCTTGGCTCGTACACTGGGAGGTGAGACCTTTGTACAGCTTCACCAGGGATGACCTGAGGGAGGAGAAATCCATCGTCGTGCTAAGAAATAAGGCAGGGAATGAGCACGAGCATGTGTAGAATCACAGAAAACAGGGCTGGGAGGGACCTTAATATTCCCGTTCACCTCTTCCCACCCCAAGGAAGGACCTGTTTCACCTAGTCTGTCCCAGTCAGCAGGGTGTCCTGCTTTCTTTCCTGTTCTTAATGCCCCTCCTGATAGCAGTCCCTCCCCAGCAGTCTGCTCCAGCCCTTTACCACCCTCCATATTTGGAAGCTTCCCCTGAAGTTTGATCTTGTCCTACTCCCCCAATGAATCATCACAAGGAGCAAAGGCAACTAGATTTTGATTTTAGTAAAAAGTCTTGATTTCAGGGAACTCTTCTGAACCACAACTTGAAAATCTACATTCAGGGTCATTTCTATCACAGTTCATCTCAAACAGGTTATGGGAGGTTTTTGTTTCTCCCACCCCACTCCCCCAGTAAAATAAGATAACACTATTCTTTCTCAGTCTTAGCCTATGAGGGCTTCAGGCAACAGTCTTGGCGTTCACCAGGGCTCCAAGCTGCCAAAGCAGCTAAGTCCCCATGTATTCTCCCACTGGGGAGTGACTTTGCCATCAGCTTAAGGAATCAAATGTTCCCATGAAACACGTGGCAGCTATGTTTAGAAGGATTAAACTGATTTTCCTTTCACTGTCAGAGTTAGACAGAAGGGCCCACCCCACATCTGACCTCAGTTTGGTGGACAAATGCCAATAGTGGGCCTTCTCCAGCATTCATATGCAAAGGGTTTTGTTTTATTTCAACAGAGCAGTGTGCCTGTTGATTTTGCCTGGACGTAAACCCCCTGTTTCCAGGCTTCCCACACACCTCCCTTTCCCTGGTGATAGAGAGAATGAGCTGATGTGCTTACTTCTTCAGCTTTTTCCTCTTCTGTATAAGCAGGTCTTCATTGCATTGGAAGAGAAGGCTATAGTGTGAGATGAAAACCCGGAGGCGCTGCACACACACCAGCAGCAGGTAATAGTCGGGATGCTCTTGCTCCGTGAACTTCAGGACATTCTGGGGCACAGAGGAGAGCAGGCTGTTTGGAGGGTGTCCTAACCCTTTCTGGGGAGAAGGTGCTCTTGGGACCATGGATTAGTGCTCTGGAGTGCCTGTGGCACTGCCCTGTGGGAGCATGGTGGGAGCTCTTCTAGGCAGCACCAGTTTCTGAGGGACTTGGAGGGGGCCTGCCTCCTACTACTCCCAATGCAAATGCACAAGTAACCACTGTAACTAATCATGGGGTGGGTGGGTGATGCACTGGGTGAGTTTAGCATTGGGTAAATAAACCAATCTCTTGTTTTTATAGAGCTTGCTTTCTGTGTCATTTGCCTTGTCTGAAATGTTTTAGTACAATTTTGATAACCCTCCTGTGAACCAGAGCTTTTTATCAGCAACCTCTGTGTAGGAAAGGTTGTTGGGCCCTAGGAGCCTCTAGCCCTCTCAAGTCTCTCAGCTAACAGGAATGTGGACCACTCGGCAAAGAGGCCAGCTCTGTTACAGGAGTTAGCTCGGAGCTCACAGTAGATGTGCCCCATCTCTGGCCTTCTGTTCTCCCAGAGCACCAGGCAGCAGAGCTTTCAGCTTCCCAGGGGACAAAAGTTGGTTCTGTCAGGCCAGATGGAGAAACTGGCAAATAGAAGCAAGCTTCAGGTGAAAATTATGAAAGTAAGCTGTTCTCAGCTGGCTTTCCCTTTCAGAGTTTTTTTTCAGAGAGCCCACTGGGTTAGCCAGAAGCCCTGTGCCTGTACAGGTCGGAATACCAGCTCGGAGTTAAAAGTCACATGTTTGGGATAAGAGTTCAACAAGACAGTTTCCATCCTGGGGCCCTACCTGTAGATGAATAAGGTATTCAGGGATTCGCTGGACTATATGGAAGAACAGAATGTAGAGATCAGACTTGATTTCTTCTTCTACCTGAAATAGAGAAAGCAACTTCAGAGTCTCTCCCACCCATAAAACATGTCTGCTTCCAAATAGTTCTGGGGTTTAATGAGTAGTTATGCTGTAAGTAGTTATAACAGTTCACGGGAGCACGCCAGTCAAGTGGCAGTTGTGCGTGACAACTTGTTGCGGTCTTCATCTTGTGCGTGACAACAAGTTGTGGTCTTCATCTTGCTTTTGGAAGGGATATTTGCAATTCTTTCCACCAGCAATACTAGTCCTAAGGATGAAATTCCTTAGGTGGGGGATTATCTATGAGGGATACTCAGCTTTAATTAAGTAGGGGTGTATGTTTAAAGTGCACTGGAGGGGTGTATGTTTAAAGTGCACTAGCTAAGTTTCATTGAAACCCTAGGTAGATGCTATTGTTCAGAGTGAAGTTCTTAGTTTAGTCCCAAATGAATTGAACAAAATGCGATTGGCTTCTAAATTAAGATGTCTTGGAAGCGAGCTAGTGTGGGTTAGTAATTGCACTTTAAAACTACCTTTATATTGAACTTTCCTAGTTTAAACCAAGAATCAAGGGTGTGAGACCAAATACCTGAAGCTGAACAGTAAAGACTGTTTTCTCTCTAAAGCACTTACAGCCTCACTTTTGGTCTCCCTTTTTGGATGAGTCCTCCATTTTCCTGTTGCCTGGGACAGGTCTGGATAGCACGTGCATACGCAAGCTTTCTGGGAGGTTTGATCTGAGACATTATCACATCACAGCAGAAATACAGCTTTGGTTACACACAGCGATGAACACATTAAAACTGCCTTTTATAGGTGCTTGTCAGCCATGGCAACGTTCAGGAACCTGACGTTTGGTAACAGAACAAGTGGATTGGCAGAAGAGTCCTATCGTGGGCAGGCATAATAGGAAGAGATCCAGGCTTGCGTGTTGCCATTATGTGTCTGGTAAGCAGGCAGGAAGTTTACCTCCTTCAAGATCACCACGTGGATCAGAGAGATGCATTCTGGCAGGTCCCTCAGGTAAGCAACGTAGTAGTCCAGAAAATTATTCTTACAAAAGGAAGAAAGAAAAGAACAAAGAAACTTGAGAGATTTTTGGTCATAGAGCCAGCCAGAACAAGAAACTGTTGATTCCCCACCATCACTCCTGGGAGCTCATCAGTGCAGCAGAGCTGCTAACTGTGTGAAGCTTTCAGGGCTTGGGACTTCTCAAGAAAGGCTGTTTAATAAAATGTGTTCAGCTGTTGAGCACAGTGTATAAAGCTTTATAGCAGATGGGAGGAAGAAGCTTTTATTATTTAAGACTCTTAAAATTTATAAAGCATCAGATGATTTTTTTACACGTCCTTCCAGGAGAGGTCCCACTGCTCGCCAGGGGTTGGGCAGACCTTCACCCTGAGAAGGAGGTGCTGTTTTACTTGGGGCTACAAACCATGCAGGATAAGGGGCCTGCCCACCCGCTTGTCATAACTCTGAGCAAAGTGCATTGGGGAAGGGGAGCCTAAGAAACACGCTCTTTTCACACCCTCACTGTGAACAACTTGACATCCAAGCTGTCGAGGCTCATGTGTGGCTCCTGCAACCAAGTCTATGTCTTGTGCATTTATTATAGGGCTGTGCTGTGTGGCTGCATGCCCCCAGGGAGGGTCTGGCATGTGGGCTCCCTGACCAACCAAGTACTACAACAAAGGCGCTACCATGCACCAGGACTCTGCTCAGCTCCAAGGAGGCTGGCTGAATGTCCTTACCCAAGCCACAGCTTCACAGCACAGCCCCTCTGCTGCAAGGTATCTCAGCCCACCTGTGGGCCATCAGCACAATATCATAGCAGAAGAGTCCAGAGAGGTCTAGAACATACCTCATCATTTGTTAACTTCAGGAAGATGTCTCCTAGGATCCCTTGTCGTGGCCAGCTCAGGACTCGCTCCTGCAGAGCGTGAAGTAAATCGACATGCTGCTGGACCAGGTACCGCAAAGAGTTGGGGAAGAAACTGAAGGGAGATGATATCAGACTGGTTACACGGAGCAGAAGCTCAGCCCTAAGCATGTACTGCTGAAGTGTGCATTCATGGGCAGTCAGCACAGGCTTGCTTTAAACACAGGTATTAACTGCTTTTATGGGAGTCCTGGCTGCACCAGATGGCCCTGTTTTGGCTGCTATGTACATGCAGGTACCCTCTCCAGTAGGCTATTATTACAGTGTTTTGAAGGTTTCTTAGGCTGGCTCTCCAGTGCACTGTGTAGCTGACCAGAATTTGCAGAACTAAAAAGCCCAAGGCGATGCTGCTGTGGTTAGTGAAGCAGGACCATGGTCCTGAGCCATCCCATGGAGTGCTTGGAGGAGAGCTCCCCAGCTTTGTATGTTGTCTCACTTGTCAGGCCTTTTAGCAAGCCAACCCTTTGATGCAGAACTAGTCAAAATGTGCTACTGCCTTTCTGTCATTTCATGCTGATTTCATCCAGAATCAGAATGAAGACGTCAAATATAAAAATACTTTGCCAGATGGAAAGGTCCCAGGGAAAAAGAGTAAAAATAAAAACTCACTTTGGACTATCATGCTTCAGTTTCAACTGCGTGTGTCATGTAACTGCTTAAATGAGTCCACATCAACCCATGTACCACATGTCCCACAGTGGACTTCTGTCAAATGACTCCTTGGATGTGGGACTCCTAGGGACAGTGGAAAGAGCCAAAAAAGAGAGAGCTAGCAAGGACTGGGCTCCCCAAATGTGCTTAGGGGCTGGGAACTCCCAGGCCAAAGCTGAGTGAATGGGGAGAGCTGTAGGAGCTATCCCATCCTGGGAACTAAGACAGCTGCCACAGGGAATGGCCTTTACAAAGAGCTGGGTTTAACTGCTGAGCTGGGTCTGTCCCACTGGTCTTGTAGCTGTGTGTGAATACATGTGTATGTCTGTATATATTGATACCTGATGGATGGCCGCCACTAGCCAGGGGCTTATGCCCACAGCAGCTTCTAGAGCTGGAGCTGTGGACTGGGAGATGAATGCACAAAGCTTTGTTCCCACCCAGGCAGGAGTCATGCAACCTAGAACAGGAGACTGATGGGACTCAGAAGGAGACTGAAATGAAGTAGCAGTGAAACGGTTTGGGATGCAAGATGGACAAGATGCAAGGACAGGGAGGAAAGTCTTTAATCACTGCAAAAACCTTCCAGTGCCTCCAATTTTCAACTAGAAATAAGCTCTAAGTGTTCAAAAATCTCTCTGTGGATGAAAGAAAAGTGGAGAAAGGATGATGCAGAAAGAATATTGACTGAAGAAAACTCCCCAAAAGAGAGAGCACACTAAATCAAATACCTTCTCTCTTTGGTGCTCCTTTTCACATCTGGCCCTTGCAATGTGGCCTTGATCTTCAGGATTAGGGAAAGGTTGATGACATATTTCCTTTCTGACTCCAGCAGCTCCAAAGCGATGTTCTGCCTTTTGGCTTCCAGAAGATAATGGTTAAGTTTAAAAATAAGGAAATGCTGACCTCAAGGACAGCCTCATGTTAGACTGGTGATCTGACATTAAATCATGAAAGGAGAAACTGTCAAAAAGTGACACCAATGTCTTGTCTTGTCTTTGTGTGTCTGCTTTCCCCAAAATATAAAATTCTAGCCTGATGCTACAGCATGCCCCAGACGTGACTGAAGCCAGAGTTTGCAAAGAAGGCTCCAAAGCAAATGTATTTTCTCCTATGAATACCATTTTTTTTCTAAGAATAACAAAACAAGCAATCAAAGGCAAAATAACTTATACCAGGGATTCACATCCAGTTTCCTGCAGCATGAGAAGTTATATTTTTCACCCGCTTAAGCAATTACACTGTCACAATCCCATCAGTACTCTGAACCTGCCAGGCCTTGGAAAGGAGAATGGATGTCCTGGGTGCAGAGCAATTCCGTCAGTGGCACAGACCAGCAAATACAAAGGCCAGAAGCCTTGGAGGCTGACGCCCTAAGACATTCCCCCCCACACACCCGCAACAGGAGAAACTGGCCTTGCGTGTCTCCCTCTGTAGAAGCTGAGTACTGACCAGCTCACACCAGATGTGAATGCGGCTTTGAGCCTCTCTAGCCTGTTTTCCGCTCTGTCCTTACCAGCCAAAGAAGGTTCACATATAATGTTGTCTGCTGAGCTGTATCTGCTTTGGCCCATGTCTTTCCCTCTCTCTGGTTGCTCTTTGGAAATGTATTCATCTCCCCAGTCCTTGGTGTCCTTGGGCTGCTTCCACACTGTTGCTGGCAGATGCACTTTCGACTGCCCCTCTGTTGTCAAGGAAGGCTTGAGGCTGTCGTCTGTCTCTATGGTTGCTCCTGCAATGACAAACAGCTGGATGGATCTTGACATCTCAGTTGACAGGTTATGCTACAGCAGGCAGCTAACCTGCATTATCAGCCATCTGAAGTACTGGAAGGAGAGTTCGAAGCATTCTTTGTGCTTCACGAGGGCTGTAGCCTTGTAGCGTTAATTTACAAACAGAAGCACAGTTGGCAAGCACTTTGGCAGAACAAGGTTTGCACTCTTTCAGCATTTATTTTCAGGCCAAATAAGGTCCAAAATCAGACACGTGTTAGAAAAGAAAAAACATATATTCCAAGTATGGTTGCACTTTGGGGTTTGGGGATGTTTCAGGACTTGGTAATACGACACTTATTGGCAGGTATTGTAGAGACAGGAAGTATTATTATAATTTGGATTTAAATGCTGTTCTCAACGGATGTAAACTGTCATGGCTCTTAAAATTTTTGTTAGTGTGATGTGATTATACAGCAGCAGCAGGACTGGTAGTCTGAGGCTATTAAATCACAGAGAAGGTAGGGGAGGGTGCAGGTGCATTAGAGCCATTGGGCTGGAATTGCTTTAATGCAAATACTTTGAATTTGGGTTGCAATGGACCATTTTCTGTAGCTTTTGTTCTCTCTTTTTTTCAAGTGGATTCGAGCAAAAGAGCCATCCCGAACAGTGCAAACATCTAATCGTTGTTCTCATGTGTCCTTTTGCTGGCCAGGATCCTTAGTGTCCCTTTACTGTACCCTTCTCTTACTTCTGACCAATTTTTATTTTTGCTAGAAAAACCTCCTCTGTTACTATTCAGACATGTCTACAAGGAATCTGCAAGCTGGTGGGCAAATAAACAGCTCACCAGTTCTACTGGCGTGTAGCTACTGCAAAGACCATCTCTTCCCAAATGGCAAAATGGCACTCTCATTATTCTTTGCCATTATCAGTAAGCTTCAATTCTTCCTTCCTGCAAAAGCACTTAGAACCTGTGAAAGCAGCAGCAGAAGGGCTTTCCCCACCAAATATCAATCCTTTGCATTGTCTGTCAGGTATTTGGCACTTCAGGGTTTGCCCTTACGTTTCAACTGCAAGTATGAAAATGGAGGTACACGGCAAAGTGAAAGACATTTCTGTGAAATGTGTTCCCTGAAAGCATTTCTTCAGTGCAGTAAAGCAAGCACTATAATTGAATCATTGTCCTACTGTTTTTTGACAGTTTGATATTTTCCTACCTGGACCTGCTACGACTTTCACACTTCCTTCTCCCATTGGCATGATCCTCGTGTCAGACACTGTTGAAGTACAAAGGGAAACTTTACAAGAGAAGACAGCTGTAGAGCAGGCTTCCTCCTGCCAAGCCTAGTCAGTATGGTTAGATCCTCCAGTCTTTCACATTTTTGCTATGGAAACACCCCTGTTAGATCTTCCACTAAGGAGGATCTCTACTGTTGTGGCCCTTGTTGCGTCTTTGTTTCAGTAGCACCTGCCGACAGGCTAATGTGGGGGTCCCTCTTGTGCTTGCTGCTGTATGACTGCAGAGGAACATGAAAAGTCTTGGCTTGTCCTTGCTCAGTAGGTGCACATTGGGTAGAAGGCACCCAGCAGGCAGAACAAGAGGATGGAGGCCTGACACAGAGACACGGCTGCCGTTTTGGGTGGAAAGGAGCTTATTGAAGAGTGGAGGGATGAGACGACTGGAAAGAAAGGGGCAGTGGGAGAAGTGGGTGAGAGAGGCGGATGTGCAAGAGGGTTGTAAGGGAGAGAGCTAACATACCACCTCAGAGTAGGGCAGAGGGGGGCCGTGACTGGCCAGATTCTGAGCAGAAGAGAGTAGCAAACAGCACATGGTTTTCCTCCAATATCTGCCTTTGTTGACATTTTAAATGTAGTGTGTATATGCAAGGAGCAGTAACACCAGTAGCCTAGGGTGTATATGTACCAGCTCCCATGTCCCCTGGTCAAATCAACCACTGGTATGGCCCCTTGATGACACCAGGTGTTCTCTGTCAGCCCAGTCCCTGTGCTCCTCCTTTCTGTGCCCTGCTCCCTTACACGGTAACAAATCCACAGGTTGTAGGATTTTTATCAGGGGCTGCTACTTGGCTCTGTGTCTGTGCCACTAGCACTACAGGGAAGAAGATCCCTTTCCTTGGAGGAGGCAAGCAATGGCTTTTAGGATAGTGTTCACAGAGCAGCATCTCCTGAATCCAGGCCAGCACCAAGGTTGCTATCCTGAGACACTGTGCCGAGGTGCGTGCACAGACCCAGGAGCAGTGCTGCCGAGGGGAGCACCCCCATTCTCTTTTTGTGCTGCTGGCACCCGAGGAAAACTTGGTGTCCTCTTACACTAGTGACCTTTTTCTGGATGTTTTTTCCTGAGGAAGGCACTGCATTTGCCTACTCTATTTCCTACCTTTTTCGTAAGTCACGTTGTGTAAGAGACTTGTAAAATCTTCATTGATCAGCACAGGTTCTGGGAGGTTAATGGATCGAAATGGGCTGCCCTGGAGAGGTGTAGGCACTGTCTGTGACCCATGATCATCCTTCTGTGCTCTTCTGTACAAATACAAAGAATGAGACCAGTTGGAAAGTATCAATGCTACAGGTGAAGCGCCTACACTACAGTTGTGGCAGACATCAGTATAAGTACAAGCACAGAGTCAGAAGTAGGACAACTCCAGCAGAGACCAGGAAAGGAGTTGGCTTTGATGCAGTGCATGAACAGTGTTCTGGAAGTAACTTCCACTGGCTACAGGAGAAGGTTATTTCAGATCTGTTCTTTTGCAGAGTATTTTTCACCTAATTAAATGGCTTAATTAGCTAAGGGGCTAGCCTAGATTTGCAAAGTGTTTGCATCAAGGCAGCTGTACACCCATCATTAAAACTCTGTTTTCAGAAGGAGGCTAATCAAGGCCAAGGTGGATGAGCCGTCTGCTTCATCGCAGCAACAGTGTGGCCCAGCAGTGGGCAAACGTGCTCCTGCATGACCCTGCTCAGAGAAGAAAAGGCTGGTGACCGGAAAGCAGAGCATGACTGCACCATCAGGAGCCCGCTGAGTCCTGCACACTTGGAAGGGGAAACTGCAGTGCTATTGTCTGGATGGGGGTGGCTTAGCAATAGCTTGTGATAGTGAAGGCTCCTGACTTTCAACAATATTCCTGCCCCAACATGTCTCTAGCAGGTCTGTGTGTTTCACCAGGCCCTGGTTTCCCTGAGAGTTACTGGGGCTATTTTGCTGTTGGAATCCCAGTGAGGTGTTGGTGTTTTTCTGCTGTGTTTGCTCTGTGGGGTGTGTGTCTAAAAGCCTGGGGTGAACTGAAGTCTAGAGCTTCCAGTAATAATCAGGGCTGATACACATGTCCAGCCAGGAAAAGATTAAGAAATTAAGCTATAAGGAAATGAACAAAACGGACACCACAGCTAATCAGCACTTCCGGAGCCCTGGTGTTTGGGCCCTTACTTAGCTTTCACTTTCCGTGATTCCCGCCGCTTCTCTTGCTGCAGCTGCTCAATTTTCTGTTGCATTTCCTCCTGCTTGGCACTGATTTCTTCAATCATTGACTTTGCATCGCTGAGCTCCTCCTGAGAAACAGGCAAAAGCACGGCATTCCCAGGGTGCCCATCAGCCTTACATAGCACAGCTTTGAATGCTGGCTGGTGTGCACTAGAGATGCTTCAGAGTGCTGCGGAGAGTGGCTCTGTGATTAGACACCCTTCCTTTGCAAGTCTAGTGTGTAATACATGCCACGCACAGCATGGCAATCCTGAATTCAACTACAGGCAACTCACCCAAGCTGGCGTGATGTCACATGGTTAAGGCACTGGTGGGAGATGGAGACATAGGGCTTCATCCACCACCAGTTGAAAGCACTGAGAGGACTCCTGCCTTTAATGGCATTTGGAGGTGGGCTTGAGGAAGCACGTTTCCCTCTGCAGTTCTCCAGCATGTGTATTCACATGTTGCACTTGGTTCAGATCCCAGTGTCATCACTCACATGTATAAGCTTTTGCCAGTCAGGCCTTGGAGCTGCCTTTTTAGCCTGGTTTCCTAAGGAAATGAGGCCCTCTGTAAACTCCCTGTCAGCACATCCTCCCTCAGGCAGTTTCAACCAAGCCTTGCTCGGATGTAGAGCTCTCTGATGCATGAAGTTCCTGCAGGTTTCATCAATGTGAGCAGCAGGATGGAGGAGAGAGACTCAAAGAGTTTCTTGTCAATCGAAGGACAGGGATTTTCCCCAAGCAAGGAGGTAGCTTCACTGGGAGCTCAACATCTGGACAGTCAACATGGGGATGAGGCAGAGGGAGAGTCTTTGCCCCTCCTGTTGCTTGCATAATTCCTTGTATCTGGATTTTAAAACCCCCTTTTCCCCTATAACAATGTCGTGGATAACCCTGCCTCTGGTTGCTCTGAGACCTCTGCCATGTGCCCTTACACTTCTTGTCTCCCTTGCTCACCTGGGACCACAGGGCTCCTTTTGCCCGGTGCCATCCGTCTCTCCCTGTCACAGGGTCAGTAACAGGCTTTTCCAGTAAGCAGCCCTCTTTAACTTCACGAGGTATTATTGACTCAGCAAAACCCCATGGGGAAAATTTACCATAAAAACAATAAAACAGTTCCTCTGCCTGCCTCCTCACAGGCAGTCATCCAGTCTCTGCATGGAGACGCTGGCTGGTTTAAAGCCTTCTTGCTAGGCTCTCTCTCCAGTCCTTTGTCTTTATCCTCTTGGGCCAGATCAAACCAGGCAGCACTTCCTCCCAGCCGTGTGGGAATGCAACTTCAAAAGGCTTTAAGGTTTTGTGTGAATTCCCTGTTCCCCAGAGGCTTTGGTTCCTGCAGGAAATGCAGGAGACCTGACCCAGGGAGAGGTATGGCACAGTGGCCCAGCGGCAGCCCGTGAACACGCCATATGCCTGTTGCATGTGCAGCCCAGAGCAAGGGTTGCTTGTGCTTCAGGGTAGCTCGCGGCACTGCCTCATGGGCCATCGAGAAGGCTAAATGGGCCAGGGCACGGGTTACGTTTGGGTTGGAGCAGTCAGGGGAGACACAAAGCCAAAGGAAGTGCACCAGATACATCTGAAACAATTGCCAGCTCATTTTCTTTGCAAGCAGGAACGATTGATGGAGGCAGGGGAATGCTGCCCCATGCCACCAGAGCTAATGTGGCAGGTGTGCAGCCCCCCCCGCAGGTCACGCTCCTACCTTGAACGTGTTGAGGGAATTCTTCATCTCGGCCACTTTCTCTTCCATGGCACAGCGGCAGCTCTTGACCTTCTCCTCCAGGGCGTACTCGCCATGCTGGATTCGCGACAGCTCCTGCATCGCTTCTGTGAAACCCGCTTTCAACTCAGAGGCTAATGCCTGCAACTAGAGGAACCACAAACACGGTGGGTTCAGTCCCTCCTCCCAGATGCAGCTGGCTGTGTCCCCGAGGGTCACCCCTGGTTCAGTGGCATGAAGGCTGGGTGTAACCCATCCTGTAAGGTGCTGTCCTCTTTCTCCTCCTCCTGTCATGGCTAGGAGTCATGGGGGGAGGTTTGATCCCTGCTGCAGCCTCAGTACAGGGTAGGAGGTGTTTGTCTTGGGCAGTCAATGTGCCCCTTTTTAGACTCACAGTTTTTCCAGGCTCCTTGGCAGTTTGCAGCCTGTCAGTCTGTAGAAGGACAGGACAGCCTGAAACATGCCAAGAAGGTTTGCAATAATAGCAGCCAGATTATCCATCCCCAAAGCAGCTGAGCAATCAAGAACATGTCCGTTTTTGAGCAAGTCCTCCTCCCCCACATGCTCGTGGGGCTGGTGCTTTCCCCAGGCAGGTCTAACACCTCCTTGCTCTCCAAGGGCTGTGGAGAAGCTCTGTCCTTGGTCAACGGGCCCTTTCCAGGGAAGGAGGCAGCTCTTTAACTCGTGATGGGGAGGGAGCGGGAGGTTTTCCCCTGGCATACAGTGACACTGTGCCCACTCTCCCTGTTTTCTGTCCCTAGAGGCCCTAGCGCTGCTGAAAGAGCTCACAACCTAAGCTGGAGGCAGCCGGTTGATGGCCGGGCAAAGCAGGAGACAGAGCGGGGCGAGCCAGGCTGGCATAGCGAGCAGACAAGGCAGGTGTGGAGGTGGGCAGTGAGGGGAGGTAGGCGGCTTGCAGAGGGCTAAGCGGGGACACCCTCTTCAGGGGCAGCTCGGGCTGGCGACCCTGAACTCTGCCCCCACTGCAGTGAGCAAGGCGCTCGTTCTGCCTGCACAAAGCCCACGGCGAGGTCGCGGCCCAAGGCGCTTCGGTACCAGTGGTTTTTACCTTTACAACAGAAATTCGGCCTAACATCTGGTTATAAACTGAGTCCAAAACTGGAGCACTGATGGTAAGAGGACAGCCACCCCGGGGAACTCAGGCGCTTGAGTCCTGTAAATGGAGCAGAGATGGCTTCCGATACCTCGGGGCAATGGCATGCACCATCCTCCTCTGATCAAGACTGGCAGTGTCTTTACAGAGGACATCTGCCTGACATCCCCACTCCTACCCCAGTGCTTACCCCACAGCCCCCAGTCTGGTCTGGCTGGACACACGTTCCCAGAGCTGCCTGGGTAGGAGGAGCGGGGCTGACAGGAGCTGGGACAGGGCAGAGGGGAGCAGGAGGCTGAGGACATCTTCCCTCCTCAGCCAGTCACCCCGGACTCCCCAAGCCAGCTGGAGCTCTTGACCCCTTGGTTCAAACCCTTCACCCACCCTTCCTGGCCACAGCGGACACCTTCCTGTGACACTCCTGTGTCACAAGAATTGTCACCCTGTGACCTGCGAGTGTAGCCTGAAGGGTTACAGGGGCTGCTTGGGGCCATGGCTGCTTAGGGAGGCAATGACCATACTGCTTCTGATGTCTCAGCCTAGGGGGGTGAGCCAGATGGTCTTAGCATCATCAGACATCCTAACATACATGCCTGGAGAAGTGGGGGGAGATAAAGTACTGCAACTGTGCAAAATGTTAATATTCCCATCCCTGCTCACAGGTGCTTGCCACACTTCCACACTGAGCTGACCTTGCCAAGGCAGAGTCTCCCTGCTAGCCTGCATCAGGGCTAGGCATCGCACGCTTTCCTCCGAGTGAAAAGGGGTGATTTGTCAGATCCATCCCTTCTAACTGAAATATTCTATGCTATCTTATGCTATGCATTTTAGAGATCTGCTTCAGGATGGAGATGTCACAGCCTCAAGTCTTGCTAGCAGTGGAGCAGATGGGAAGCTGGCCTTGGAGATAACAATGTCTGGGGAGAATAAGCCCAAAATGAAATGTTTCTGCCCACAAGCCTGGCCATATCCTCCTCGGGTGCTTCCAGAAAGGGGGTAAACTAGACAGATCTTTTGTGAAGGGTACAGGGATGGGAGTCATTGCTGATCTAGAGGTTTCAGAGTCAAAAACTGCTAGGTATCAGCAAAAGTCAGCAACAAGGGACCACTGCAGAGACTTTGGTGTCCATGTGCACCGAAACGCTCTGTGAAAGCAGAGTTCAGGCAGCCAAAAGAAAGATTTGGATTAGAGGCTGGACTAAAATATTCTCTGCATCTTAGAGCAGACAGTCACTTGTTATTTTGGGGTTCACTGTTGGCCAGTCTCTGCTTTTGAAGTCACAGTGCTAGCTTGGTTTATTTGTGTATCCTTCCCAGTGCTCCAGACCCCAGCCTGGGTCTGTCCTGCCCGGTGCATCCTTTCTCGGCCCCATGCAGCTTGCAGCGGCTATTTTACCTGCTGCCCTGATGTTTTTCAGCTCTGTGTGGAAAAACCATGCAAGTAAAATCTCTAGTGAGACCAAGTAACTGTGCTGTGTTCTGTGGGTAGCTGCCCATGAGGAAATGAAGGATTCTCCTCCCGTCTTTACATGACTCTGATTAATAGGGCACTGAGAAGCAGTCACTTGTGACTCTCGCTTGTCCTCCAGCCCAATGAGGATATGAACTCTCTGGCGAAGTCCACCTGGAGAGGGGAGCATGCATTTCCCAACATGGAGGGGAGAACCATGACCACATGGAAGAAGTAATGGTGGCTAGAAGGGAGGAGAAGGGTGAGATCAGAAGACATACAAGGAGCATTTCTCAGGCTGGTTTTGACTCCAGTTTGCAAGAGTGCATCTAGTTTTTATATATATATATTTATTTATTTTATATAAAATTTATTTTATATAAAAGCAGTTGTGAAATCTCCTTCGCTGAGCCTCTATTTTTGTCTCACCTGCTGTACTGTCCCCAGAGGGTGGACAGGACTGATGCTGCTTCCAGGACCAGAGGCAGCAAAACTGCAGAGCCCCCCCATCCTCCCTCAGCAGGTGCCAGCAATTTGAGCCATTTGCAAAAGATAGTGACTGTCCCTGCAGCCTAAAGCTTTGTTCAGACTTTGAGGCAGCCCAGGGAAGATGGCTGTGGCCAGGAGACGGGGATGGCTTATGGAAGGAAGGGCTGGGATGGAAAGCAGAGGGCAGAGCCTTGGTGAGCTGGGCTTACTGCCCTGGCTCCCACTGAGAAGATGAGAGGGAACCCTTGCTTCCATGAGTAGCTGTGTCCCCACATATCCCCCCCAGCACTAGCCAGGCTGTCCAGGGCTCTGTGTCTCCAAAGGGATGGCTATTTGTATCTTCCACCCTTGGCAGCTGCCTAGGGTCCTTACACTAGAACAGGGCCTGCTCTCAGGGACCTTGAGCTGAAGCCTGTCAAAAACAGTAGAAAACAGGCTCATGATGAAGAAATACTGCACAGGAATAATTACGCTGTTATATCCTAGAAAAGAGCAAAATCCTGTGGCCGTGCAGGAGTACTGTTTGTGTTACTTCCCCCAGCTTATCTACTGTCCATTGCTTTGCACATCTTCTTATGTGGCTGATCTTATGAGGAGCGGCTGAGGGAGCTGGGGTTGTTTAGTCTGGAGAAGAGGAGGCTGAGGGGAGACCTTATTGCTCTCTACAACTACCTGAAAGGAGGCTGTAGCGAGGTGGGGGTCGGTCTCTTCTCCCAAGTAACCAGTGATAGGATGAGC